GCAGGCGTTTTCCATGCCGTGGTCACTTGGCTTTATGTGTGACTCGATCAAGCATATCTAGTAAAATGATACCACAGAAGCTTTTCCGATACTCAACATATACCACATACCCGAGATGCCTATGCCCTATTTCTTGTCCTCAAAATAGAATTTTCCCAGGCTATCTCCCCCCTTGGAATTCGTGAGGACCGGCGATCGGCCTTCGCCGGCATCGAGGCGTTCTCGTACGATGCGCTCGGCTGCCTCGCGGCTCGCGGGGCCACCCACACCTTCGCGGATATTGCTAGTCTGCGGCTGGCCCGGCTGAAGGGGAACGGGGCCCCGCGTCGTGGTGTCCACGAACACGTCGTCATCAGTAGCGCCGACGTGGCCGCCACCATCGACCGAGACACCGTCCACATAGCGCGCTTCTCGTCTCTCGGCTGCTGCGGATACACTAGTGGGGGTATCGCTATTGGCCGCGTCCCGGAGCTCACGATTTCTAAGCATAGCGTCCTGGCTCAGGCCTGAGCTACTCCTTTCCAGACCGAAGACACCCGTCGCTCCCGTCGTACCAGGGAGTGGACGACGATGGTAGATGGGCCCGCTGACAGTACTGTTTGCGCCTTCGCCAAAGCCCACCAGGCTCGCCGTGCCATCATCGCTCAGATGATCCTCGAAGCCGCCGACGGAGCGGCTAGTCAGGTCCTCGTCCATGGGGTCGATAGCGCCCGAGGTCGAGTCAACATCCATAGTGCGATAATTGGTATCCGTGCTCATTATATCCTCGTCGCCCTCGGTAGGCTCAACATCCATGTCAAAACCGCCGGCCTCGGTGGTTGTGCGCCCTCCGACGCTACCTGTGGCAGACGCGGTACCGACAGTGCTCATCTTGGTAATGGCTGTAGGCTGTCCGTTGGCATCAAAGTACGCGGGCGCGAGAGCACCGGGAGCAAGATGTTGAGGTGGGAAACCGGTCGAGGTCGGGGTGGTTTGGGGAGAAGCAGCGTTTCCTCCATGGTGCGGGTTCGGGGCTCGGAGAGTGGACACGCGCTCGAGACCGGCTAAGCGGCTGATGCGATCGGCGCGCTCGGCCTCGAGGCTATTAGTCGAGGAGTTATGTTGGTGGCCACGGGCTTCGGCTAAAGCGTGTAGAGCATGACCGCCGCGGTGTCCGTCTTTGATGGCAGTGGTCGAGAGCGCGGATAGAGAGGTGGTCGTACTAGTCGGGGTACCACTGTGGTTCGTAGTAAAACGGTATTGTTAGTCGTGATGGGACGAGCAAGTCAAGAAGACATGGAAGCCGAGTAACAACTTACGGCATGTCGCTCGGAGTCTCCGGGTTGGAGGATGGGGGTGGGACATTGATTAGCATCGGGGGTGGTTGTTGTTGCGACATGTTGGCGGACTGATGAGAGAAGGGCACACGAATGGGTGAATTCTGATGCGAAAGCGGACGTCGCAAGCTAGCACTCAGAGGAGAGAGGTATGCTTTTTCGCGGAAAACGGTTGTCGATGGTGCGTTTGCTCCCGGCTGGGATGGTTTGTATGCGGATCTGAATCGAGTTGGCTAACCTAGAAGATAAGGGAAGGGGTGTGGACAAAGATGATGAAAGAAGCATCAAATATTTGTCTGTCCCAACGGGTGTGTGCGGTATTGTCAAGATCGAATTGGTTCCTTGGAATCGCAGAGGGAGGAAAGTCGGTCACCTAGGTAGTTTATCAAGTTGTTGTGGTTGTTGTTGTGTGTCCATTTCACTCGTCGCGTGGCAGGTGAAGAGTCAGGCAGTCAGGTTGTAGAAGGACTGGATGGACATTGATTCGGTAAGGCTAGTGGAGGATTTGACAGCTGAAAGTGATGTGGAAGGATCAGGGTCCGATCCCCATTATCCCCACTGAATTGGCGCCGGATAGGCCTGTCTGCCTCTGAAGACACTGGACACCGCAGCGCCCTGCACCCTGAGTGAAGCATCCATCTCACCCGCGCATTGAATGGGTGGAAGAGCGCAGTTGGCGGGGGTGGGGGAAATGACGTAGAGGAGAGGCTAACCCCTAATTGACCCTAGCTCCGATCAGGTTTCCACTGTCTTTCCGCTCTTACAGTGCTTCATTGCCGCCCGTATTTCCCATCCTCAATTAGGAGGTGATATATATGAAGTCGCCTTCTCTCCTAACTAGTAACAAGGCCTATTTCTATCGTATGGCCAACCGAGAAATTGTTTTCTTTTTCTCATAAGAGGTATAATAGATAGCACGTGCAGGTAAGTCTGGTCTGGATCACCGATCACAGTCCATCGTCCTCCTCACGACGTCATTTCCCCTCATGGAAGTAGCTTCAATTCTCAATTCCCACGTGCGTCCAGTCCGATGCTCTTCACGCAGTGTCCCCAAACTTAATCAAACCAGCTGCAGATCAATCAGAAAACACCGGGCGTAAAGTCGATGACCTGCACTTGGTCAACCCTATCACGAAGGTTCGCGACAAACTCCAGGTGTGCCGGGTCCTTCTCCAGATAGTGTTTTCTGTCTTCCTCGTTCTCGAATTGGAAGATGAACGAGTGAGTCAAGCCGTTCTGTTCTCGTATATGGAACCGTCAGCAACACATCCCCCCCAAAAACACTCCGTAAAATGGTGTCTGACCTGGAGGCCCTCGGGGCTATTATCCCTTCCGCCGCCCAAGACTTTCACGTACTGCTTTCCAGAGGTGGGGTGAATGCATTTCGTCCCCAACGCCAGCATGTTATCACAGACCTGACAGAGAGGGGCGGCGCATCAATCAGCGATTCTTATCTGATTAAAGGGGGTTTGCGACATCTGCCAACTCACCTCTTGCACCTCCTCGGGAGGGATAAGGCACTTGAATCGGAACAAGACGATGTGATAGATTGCCATATTCCTCAGCTATGTTTTCCTGGATGTTGTGATCATAAGTAAATTGGAGTTTGGTTGGAGCTCTTTGTCTCGCATCTCTTGGAAGTGCTGGTTGTAAATAATATCATGGGTACGGGGTAACTTTTCCCCTAACTCAAAACCCCCGCAACTTGCCCCCTTCGGGGTACTTCAAAAGGGGCATGATGGCAAACTTATATCCAGACCATTCGTCATGATCGCTGCCTTTACAAAACCATCAGAGCCATGATACTTCTTACCTGAGTACCTATATAAGTACCTAGGTAGGCAGATATGCATCTACGGCCTTACTGGGTCAGACCTGAAGATGCTCTTTAGGTGGGCATTATGGCACGGAGCCAGGGTACGAGAAAAATAGCGATGTGGCAATCTGAAGGAATGCGCTGGGCTCTACCAATTTCGTCTAATACAATCAAGAATAATTGTAATGAGATAGATTCAATCCCAAGCCCCCTAATCAACGACCACTAGCGTCTTATTCCTGATCAATTCGTAGTCTTCCCACCTCGTAGTCCGCTGCGTCGCCCACTGATGTATCCTATCAAAGTCGCGACATGTATGTTGCGCCGAGGTGTCCAGTATGATCTTATTCCCAGCGAGACTCCATGTCATCGGTGTCAGGTCCGCGTGGCACTGGATCGCCTGTCGGAGATGATTGATGCAGTGGCCTATCCCATGTCCAGTCAGTCATTCAGCTATGGCACACCGACCAATGGGAAAGTCCTCAACCGCTTACCGATGTGGTCCTCTCGCGAGGGATCATGGGGGTCGTTGAATATGTTGTAGTACTCTGGGTATAGTGCCTGCCGAAGGCGATTCTAATCCGACCTCAGTCAGCTGGCTCTGGTAGCTATATGCCCACCACCCGAGGAGCGACCCCTTACCAGGCAATGCAGCGAGTGATATACCTCGAGACCGCTGAAGTACAAGCCAGACTCGGGCCACTGAAAGGTATCTGGTGATGACCCGATCTCGGCGCTGTCGAGGTCGATGTTCAATCCTGTGCGGCGGTAAGCGACGATTGCTCATCTTGGTCGAATGGCTTCCTGTACCGAGCATAAGATCGCGCCATGCTTGATCGACTTCTGGCGTGGGATGTCCCACGTATTTCTTCTTATCTGAGTCATCTGTCATGAACTCCCCATCATCGTTCAGTTGAACTCCGCCGGAGTACGAATACTGAGTCAAACCGATCTCAGGTTTGATCGCCCCTATTTCGCCTGGTCAGATGCGCCATCCTGTCTGTGTCGCGCCTGCCGCGTACCTAGATCCGAATCAAATCCTGTCTCGTACGATGATTTTGCAAGCTTTCGTTCTGTAAGCAGATAGATGATGACGAGAAACAACAGGATATTCAGAAAGATCGAGACAGCTGTTGTGGTGCGCCTCAGTTTCGTCCACATGTCGGATCTACGGCGTATCGTTGAGTTTCCAACCAGGCCATCCCGCTCTGACTCGCCTTCCGGCTCCTCATCGAACATATCAACTCGCCGGGATTCTTCGACTGTCATGGAGTCTTCAATTCGAAACTCCTTGAACCGATGCCGTCGGTGGTGATTTAGTCGCGGCTTGCTTTGGTGATATTGAGAAAGGTAGGTCATGACCGATGCGACCATAACAGGCCCGTCTGGAAATCTGACTACATAAATACGTGTCTGATTCTATTCTGCAGTAATATATACATACGTCGGCGGCTTATTGAGCAGATCCTTCCTCAGGACCCTGTGACGGCGGATTGCACAGGATCTTAAGCCCAGCGTAGCAGGTCATCATGCAAGTGATCATTCTCAATCGCCTGTGATACGATTTCTCAGCGCAAGATGCATGCGACATCGAATCCTGTAGATTCACATCATTGGCAGTCTTGATCTGACTGGTATTCTGAGAATTTGACTGCATAACTGATGCACCGTTCGTATTGATGTACAATTCGTATGTGTAGGCGTTTGAGTCTCGAGGAGGGGTAAGGGTAAAAAAAAGGAGTCCAGTGCTGCTTAATAAGCAAGAGTGCAGCCAAATTAACCACCGCCCCTACAAAAAATTCAGCATGAGCAGCGAAACAGATCAAATGCAAATGGAGAATAAGAACGAACGAATGGCAAAAGTAAAGCGATCTCGGCAGGGATCGAACCTGCAATCTTCTGATAACATCGAGAAGTAATCGTAGTCAGACGCCTTGCCATTTGGCCACGAGACCCCTTTTTCCCGCGCGAACGAGTCAGGGAGGATTGACAAAATTGCCGTTATTTCTTTACTGATTACTTTGTGTAGTGGAGCTTGAGCAGGGTAATACCGCAGCTTTTGGTGGTGGAGAAATCTAGTGAGCCGGACTCCCGGTGCCCGGGGGGCCTTTGCAAACGACTGTCAAGTAACGGACATGTCACCATTCACCCTGAAGATATGGGCGGACAGGTTCCGCCCTACAACTCGTCTGACACCTCGGGCAAGCAAGACATGTGAAATGAATACTCCTTCAGGTAAAAAGATCGCAAGGGCATTGAGGAGCTTTGGGGGTGGCTGAGTTTCTTCAAGTTGATTTCAAGCCACATCAGGAGATTGATAGCTGTGGCTGAACATCCCACCAGCCCCTGACCAACATCGGGATGAGAATGGCTTTGTTCCTATGAGCATGCCAGCTGCTCATAAAAAACAAATAGCTATGTAGTGACAAAGTGAGTCACCGACCTAGCGCTCTGAGATCAATGGGCATTTTCATCACTTGATATATAAGATAGGAGTATCAGGAAACGGAATACTGCGGCGAAGCCAAGTGGAAGACTGTACAACATATTGGTCTACTTCGGATGCATTTGAAACGACGACCCCCGGGATCCTCTCTGTGGATCGATGGACTTTTCATCATGGATGTGTTGGTTGTTGGACATAACGGAAAAGCCCGTGTCACCAACGGCCATTCATGTTGTTGGTTGGCGAAAAAGAAACAAAGAAGTCGCAAGTTGTTGGTCCAGGGTCTTCGAGGCTATAAATTACTCTCACCCCCCCGCCCCCCTCCCCCCCCCCCCCCCCCCCCGACCTTCCCTGGAAATTTCTCATCCTCATCCTTGTAGATGACCGAAAGATCCATTCGCCATTATACCACCGAGTCATATACATCTTATCACATACCATACTATGGCATCCGAGGGCTCGAAGCGTCGGGCAGGAAACCCAAGCGAAGACGGATTCGAAATGGAAAATGCACCCATTCCAAAGCGCGATAAGCGATCGAGAGCTTACTCAGGATCAACCCGTCGTGGTGACGAGAATATTCCCGACCCTCCTTCGTCGGCTTCCGTAAGTCCATACTTTCACTGAATCCACGCCGCGACTCGGGCACGTCTTCACAGGCCAGGTTACTAACTCGAAAATGAACATGACGAGAAGTTCCAGCAAGAACGGCACGGAAGACGCCAACGGGAGGCTGAGGAGGAAAGGCGTAGATTCGAAGACCAGCAGCGCGTAATGGCATTCTTGGGATCAGTTGGAGAAACGTTTGAAGCGTTTGACAGGGCAGACGAAGCAATGCGCGAGTATGAAGCTCGGCGCAAACAAGAATCTGGATGCTGTATCATTTTCTGACGATACGAATGGCAGCAAATGACCACGAAGCTGGCGCGGTATCGAGGAGTTTCGTTTCTCGCGGGCATGGAAGGTTACGGTGGGAAAATGAAGATTGACTGCTATTGTTTCTTGGAGGGATATCAGGGCCATGTATAATGTACCAGAACTCAGTGGATTCCGACAAAACGGCGCCGGCTAGTTATAAAAACCCCTTTCTCAGAACACAGGTATGCCTCTAGTATGATTGTCTTTGGGATTACTATGGCAAGGGATTATGCATTTAGGTAACTACTTGTCCCAACAAGTAGACTATACCGAGTCTCATCTTCTCTCTCCTTTGAGGGAATGACGGTAGGGAACTCGGGAAATGGGTCTTCCTCGTTGATTTTTGCCCACCCCCCTGAAATAGAACTGCAGCAAAAGAGCAGTCCGTGTCTTGAAAGTTTTCGTCGTGACTTCTGTCAGTGGATTTATTGAGATACTTGGTAGTTACTTTCTGGTACCCAGCCGGTTATTAATAAAAACATATCAAATCATGGATAATATGGTGCGCCTCCCCGCTTAATGAAACAACTTCAATACGTGGGCTTGATGTCGGATGAATACCAGACTCGGCAATTTAGCGGACGAGTATAACTCCTGTGGAAGAGTAAGCATACTTCGGTCTAAGAGATCAATAATAGACCATACAGACCCCGATACACACTGTTGTTGCAAAACCTATTATCATTGTATAATGACTATTCGGATCCACTGCCACGTTATGGCCCGTAATAGCCATCGGGGTATACAGAACATTAGTCACAGCCAGAAGTTCGACCAATTTTCTCGTGGTACGTCTTACAGGTGCGCGGAGACAAAGGCTTGATCCTCCCCTACTCGATTTCGAAACCATGGCCAGGACATATATGAATCAGACTCATCGCTGCTACACCGGCTATTAAACCAAACGAGCTCCCCATCTCCAGACAGACAACTTGCAAACCTTGAACGCATCTTCACTTCACGCCAATCACCTCCTCCATGAAACCAAACCCAATATCTGCCAGCAAACCGACTCCACCAGAAGCCACTTGCAATGAACCCTAATTTCGACCCTCCTCATCCCGCCCTCGGCACCCGGGCCCTTCAGCGGAGCAAGCGACTCACCTGGTCTGATCCGCCAGCCATGGGCGAGATACGCCAGATGTCTTCATTAGCGGCCTCGAAATATAATGACGATGGGGATAGAGGTGGATCCGAGAGCAGCGAAGCCGGGGGAGGAACTGGGGGCTACTCGTGTGCGGAGGACGAGGAAGCTGAGCGTGGTGGAGGTTCGCGCGGGTGCTGTGTTGTTATGTGACCTGCTGATGGCGAGGGAGAAAGGTATGGAGCTGGGCTGCGAGAGGAACCGAAGGTGAACCGGGATGGGAGGGGGGAGGTCCTGATGGGGAATACTGGGAAGAGCGCTTGGGTTTGTTCTTGAAAGGGGCAACCAGTACGGAATTGACGTGTTTCGCAGCTTGGGAAGGCGTCCCAGAAGGTATGGTTCATCTAGAACAAGCAGATGCGACTCGGCGAGGGAAAGAACGGTGAAAAGACTCCTGATCCCATATTCACAAGCTCCATATTCATCGACGACCATCAGTTTTGACCTTTTTGGCCCATAGCAACACGTATTCTATGTCCTTGTCGTGCTGCTCCGCTGGCAAGTACAGCCACCTATCGCACTCCCTACTCCAGCCCCTATTTGGCACATAAGCTTCCAGCAGGTAGTAAAGGTCCCGGTGGTGTGGAAAATCCACGCTGGGCGGTCCACCTCTCTCCAAAAACAAGTCGCTTCCCGAGTCGAACTCGGCCGGGGACATACGAAAGCGTGGCCGCTTGTTGCCTTTGTTGGCGGCGTGCCGACGTATAGACCTCGTGGTCGAATCGAGGTGCGCCTCGAGCAGACGGGCGTGCCAGAGCGGGTTGCGCAGCGATTTTCGCACGATAGCAGCATTAGTGGCCATGAGACTTTCGTTCCACTCCGGAGCCTGGCCTCGCAGGAACGTCGGTATGGGCTCGCCCTTGTCGAGATTGTCCTGCCAGTGGGCAAAGTCGACGATGAGACATAGGCCAGACCAGCGCAGCCTGCACGTAAGACAGGTGCAGATCTCAAAGGGGTCTGGCGGCGGGACGTTCTGGTACTTCGTCTTGTGGATCGAGAGCAGCCCCTGCCGGTCGGGTACCTGCAGCAGGGGGCGGATCTTGTCTTCCACATTTTCGAGGGGCACGGGCGGCCGAAAGCTCTGGGCCAGGCAGGCGTAGCGCCAGTCCGAGATCCTCTTGGCGATGCGGGACTCCTCGGCGACGATGAAGTCGCGATGGTACCGGTTGACCCTCTGCAGGCTGAACACGTCGCTGGGCCGGAGGAGGACGATGATCTCGAAGGCCAACTCGTAAGGCAAGCGAAATATGCCGGGTAACCGTGAGGCGGTTTTCAGGGCCTTCTTGGTCATCTTCCGGTGGGCCCTCTCGGTCCGCTTGGAATGGAGTGCGAGGTTCTCGGTCTTATCCTCCAGCACTCCCAGCTCCTCATCTTCCAATAGATCTACCTTTCGCATGATGGGCTCCGACGATTTTCTGATGAGATTTCGTAATGGCAATTATTTTGTAGCTGGCTATTGCGCTCGAGATGTTGTGAAGTCAAGCTTCGAGCTGGGGTTTTGCCACAGTCGGCTGGACCTCGGTGTGGGGAGTACCGAATAATCCGTAATACCCGATATTGTTATAAAGCCATTTAAGACCTTATCCAGTATACCTGGATAGGCATATTCTCAGCCATCTTGTTTGAACCATGCACCGTGTTTTTCATTTCCTCCCCTCCCGAAACCAATTCGCGCAGTTGCAGCTACAATCACGCCTCATCCCATCGGTGTCTATCTCCAATGCCGGCTTTTTTTAAGGTGCTACTGACGGTGTAAGCCCGATCATCCTGGTTTCACTTGATGATGAAAGTAGATAAAGCCGGGAGTCGAATTCGAAATGTTGTTCCTGACCTGAATGAAGAGGACTAAACTCTTTCTCCCTCTCCTCTTTTTTTTTTTATTGCCGCCGAATTTTTTTTATTGCCGCCGAGAGGAGACCGGAGTGGGAGGTCGATCCGGCACGCCCAGACCCGATTTGTACTCGGCTGGCCGGGCCCCATCACGACATCTGGTCTCCAACTGTCATCATCAACACCAAAGTGGATTTAGCATGGTGCATGGTTGCCCTGCAGAGAGATGGAGGGGATTTATGCGCATCCGTACCGAGATAAGGCATCCTATGCATTTGAGCTGGACGGGGCTCTCATGCTTTAAGATGCGCACACATACATGTGTGGACTTGCGTTCACAGCCCATCGCCTACCTAGCCGACGTTGAGGTGCAAAATGTGCGGAAACATATGTAAGGATCGGTTACTTTTAACATGACCATGGTGCAGCTTCGCCCCAAAATGCGACGTATTAGAGAACGGTTATAACTAATGCAATATCCATCAGTACATCACGCAAGTACTGGGATTCCTTGCGACTCGCAGCTCTCGTGTAACTTGCCCGTTTTGGTCCTCGTGATTCGCAAACCAGCGCGCGGCGTGCAAGATAAGAAACCATGTGCAGATAACAGGCCAATG